CATTGTGGAGCCCAGGGGAAGGAGCTCCAGTTTCTGAGAAACCACTGGCTTTTTAAGGCTTTTGAAAAGTTTTTTGTTTTTCCAAGGTTTAAGTTTGTTTATTTGGAGAGAACGTTAGCTTGCATGGCGGGGGGGTGGGGGGGGGTGGGCGGAGAATCCCACGCAGGCTCCTTAGCGCAGAGTCTGATGCTGGGCTCGAGCCTAGGAACTGAGATCATGACCTGAGCCAGAATCAGGAGTTGGACGCATAACTGAGAGCCACCCAGGCGCTCCAACACTTTTGAAAGGTTTTAAGAAGAGTTGGAGGACATGGGGAGAGTAGGGAATAAATTAACAGTTGGACACAATTTCTAGTGTTTTCTGTTACATTTTCCGTTGTAATGGAAGGCTTGGGTCTCTCCCGGCATTTGGAATTGACCGGGTTGGTGGGGGGTGTTGAAGGTGAACCGGAACACGTGGCTACCAGTACCAACAGGGACCGTGGGGACTGGTGAGGGGCCCTCGGAACCATTGTCTGGGGTTTAAGACTTCAGTGAGCTGGGAAAGTCCACCCTGGTGACCCTGTAGAGCCCAGCTCGTATTTAGTGGGGCAGGTGCTGAAATGTGGGGGCCGCGTCCGAGGCCGTGCACACATTCATTGGCGTCCCTTTTCCCTTAAGGAAATGAACAAACCTTCACCTATGACAATTGACCATTGCTTTCCACGGAAGAAAGAGCAAGATTTAAAATCTAGAGGAATAGGCAAACCCACCCGTGCTTCCTCCCTCACGGGCCGGCATCATTAACCGTTGGGCGTGCTTCCTTTGCCTCCTCCCCCTTTTCTTGTGTCTTAAAATACATTTGATCATCTTCCCGTCAGGCCCTTTGTTTCTTTGTTCCTTTACCTGCGTAGTGCATCCACCTGTCCTCCGCGATGAGCACAGAGAAGTCAGCTTGGGGCCACTTGCCTGGGCTGTGAGAGGGGTAAGAGCTGGCTCTGCCGGGGGCTGGGCACCAAGTCCCCCCAGGCGGGTGGGGGGGCCCCGCCCTGCGGCACCTGCGGCACCAGCCAGCCCTTGCTGTCTTTGATTCAGAGTTAGACAAAGTTGGGAACCATGTAAGCCCACCAGCTCAGCTTCTAGAATCAAAGATCCGCCTCCTGCAGTGGCCGTCTGTCCTCATCAGCAGCTGTAGTAGCTGTGCAATCAGATCGTTGGGTTTGCTGACCGAATGATACATTTCACCCTCTAAAATAGTTCACAGAGTTGAGTTTCATAAATATTCCCAGCAGCCATATACCAGGTGCTAAGATAGATGCTGAAACATTACTACTGATCTTCAGATGTGATACTAGCAGAATTTGGGAAACCTACTAGAAATTGAGCAGTCATTGCCTTTTGAGTGGGGTTGGACTCTTGGAAAAGAGCAATCATAGATGAGAAGGAGTCTTATTTTTCAAAGAACTTTATTTTCTAATATTTAGTTCAAGAGTACCCTGGAAAATGACGCTTCAGAAGTCGAGTACTTTCATGATTAAAACTGAAATGTACTAAAAACTCTGGGCTCACCATTTCCATGTTTCTTAAAATACCAGCAAGTGCATCATTCAGGGCTCGCTCCGGCGCCACGGGCGAGTGTGAGATCTTGCAGATAGGCCGAGCGTACCTGACCGGCTGGCCGCCTCACTGCAGCGCCGGCACCTGCTTCTCAGGGACAGAGACCCCACCTCTGTGCACCGTGTGCGCACGCGCTGCTCGCAGCCTCCCTTCCCTCCGCGCCTGCCCAGGTCGGCGACCTGCTTCCGATGAGGCTGCGGTGCCACCAGGAAGCAGTCCGAAGCGTGCACTCTGGTGGCTGCAGCGTGTCCACCTGGCTTCTCCGCCTTGTAGGAAGCTTGGCTGTGCAGAGGCCCCGGGTTCGCGCGGCGCTGGGGCTGGAGAGTGTGGTGGGGCAGGCGTCCCGCGCCTTCCGTGGGTCCGCGTTGTTCCTCTTGTCGCCTCCTCAGTGTCTGGTTCCCGTATTTTGTTGGGGCCGTGGTGCCATCACGTGCAAAACTGTTGTTTATATAGACAGTTTCCTGTAGAGGCCAACCGACCCGAAAAAGATGCACCATTGTGAAATGTACCATGAAGGAAGAAAAGTGTTTAATTTTAAATTGATCTGATGCCCAGTCATCGATTGAAAAGTGCCTCGCAGTTTCAGGCGTACTGGAACGTTGCGGGGAAAGAGTGCCTTCCAGCGACAATGGAAGAGGAGTCTTTGCTCAGTTCCAGGATTAGATCAGCGTCTTCGGAAAACGCCGTAATCAGGCACCATTGTTGCTAACATCTTGTTAAGCTATTAAACCCCAGTTTTGTAAATGTAACAGTAAGCATGTGTTTAAGTTCTATCAAGAGGTATAATATTTAGTTTTGACAGACGTGACTCTTCTGTCTACTTTTAGCCGTAAGATTTAAAAACATTTATTTTAGAGAAAGTTTGGAAAAGAGAGTCCCAAGACCTATTAGAAGTTGCTTTGTTGTGTTTGTTTTGAGTTGAGGTGTAGCTGGCACCCAATGTTAGTTTCAGGTGGACAGCGTACTGATTCAGCAGTTCCGTGCCTTCCTCAGGTGTGGCTACATCTGTCACTGTACGGCGTTATTACAGTTATAGGCCGTTGACTGCATTCCCTATGTTGTGCTGTTCATCTCTGTGACTGATTTTATAGTTGGAAGTTTGTATCTCTTAATCCTCTTCACTTATTTGCGCATCTCCCACCCCCTCCCTTCTGGCAATCATCAAGTTTGTTTTGTGTGTTTATGACTCCACTTCCGGTTTTTCTGTTTGCTTGCTTGTTTTACTTTTTAGATTCTACATATAAGTGAGATCATATGCTATTTGTCTTTGTCTGACTCACTTCACATAACATACCCTTGAGGCCCATCCATGTGGTCACAAATAGCAAGATGTCACTCTTCTCTGTGGCCAAGTATATTCCGTTTGCTTAATCAGAGCTTGCTTTGGTTCATCCGCACGTCGTCAGATGCTCCGGGAGCAAGCACTGTTTGGTGCAGGAGATCGGACAGTGGGCAGGAGCAGGGAGGAGTGAAGGCCCCGTGGGGGTCAGAGGGGTGCTGCCCCCTTTGTCCTCTGGGGGTTTTTCTTTCTAATGTTTATTTTTGAGAGAGACCGACCTCAGCTGTCAGCACAGAGCCTGATGCAGGGCTCGAGCTCATGAACTGTGAGATCATGACCTGAGCCGAAGTCGGACTTGTAACCGACCGAGCCGCCGCTCCCCCCCGCCCCCCCCGCGCGCCCCTGGCCTGTGGTTCTGTTGGATCGCTCTGATTACCCCACCCTTTTCGGGTTGGGCAGCTGTCCCCTCCCTGCGTGATCCCCCACCCGCACCCAGCCCTTGGTGCCTCCTCCCCTGAGGGAGGGCTCTGTGAGGACCCCGCTGCGTAGGGGCAGGTGCCGAGGGGACCCTTGGGGTCTGCCCCCGTGTTGCAGTGGTTCCAGCTTCCTGTGTGTGTCTGGGCCAGTGGTGCCGTCACAGCCCAGAGAGCCTCCCTACCCTGCTCCCCTCCGGGAAGGGCTGGGGGAAGCCTGATTCCCAGAAGTCAAAGCAAAAGCCCTCTTCCCGTCTAATCTTTGTCACAGCAGTTAGCTGTGGGGCCCAGTTACATCCCCGTTTCTGACAGGTGGGGTGTTGTGCGTCTCCTTGGTGGGACGCAGCGCTGCGGGCGGACGCCTGTGTGCTCCTCTGGGCACCGTCCGTGCTCTGGCAAGAGGGCCTGCCTCGACATCATTACTCACCTCTCCTGAAATGCAGGGGCGCTAGGCAGCCCCCTCTTCTGTCCTAAGCTGGTCAGCAGACGTCTGATAAAACGGACCCTATGTCACACTGATGGGTGGCATCTGCGCAGACGGCGGCAAGGGTTTCCCCTGGGCCCCTTCCTTGTCTGGCGCGTTGAGGTGATGAGGGCAGAGGCCTGTGATGCCGGGGGCTGTAGTCTTATGCTGTCACTTGAGATGCACGCAGCTTAGAAGAAAGGTGAGGGTACCGGTACCTTCTACCCTGCAGGTGCCCACCTGCGCTGACATTTTGGCAAATTGGTACGCCCCGTCTGCCAGGTGTCCTCATGGGTTAAGTGTGGATGGAAAGAGCATGCCGGCTTCAGTATTCCTCTTCTGTGACTCGGGTCAGGCAACTGCTTAATTACCCTTGGCCCGTGTCTGTATTATCTCACCTCTGAAGTTTAGACCTTTGCCGTCAGAGTGGCCCTGAGAGGCCCCGGAGGGTGTGTGCTCTGGTTCTGGTCCGCGGAGGGCTTGGGTGCCCTTTGCTTTTTTGATCTGTAACACGGTAGACATCGTTTCACGTTCCAGTGCTAGCCTCCCTGGTGGCACAGGTGCCCGAGCAAGGGGGTGGGGTGGGGACTTCGGCCAGCCTCCCCAGCGACGGGCGGGGGCGCCGGGGCAGGGCGTCAGGGGCAGGAGCTGAGGCCCGCTCTGACCGGGAGCGCTGGTGCCATGTGTGAGGTGATGTGATGCCCCCGCCTTTGTCACTGGACGCACGCTGATGGGTCCTGCTGAGGCGTGTCGCTGTTCTGCTGGCCGTTGAGCCACCACGATTGTGTTTTATTTTCTCTTCTTTTACTGAGCAGACTTAGAGTGGAAGCAGGTGAATTAGGGTTGTTTCACTTACCAGGACTAGATTACCTGCCCCATAATTTAATCCCTGGAAGTGCCCAGCAATGACTGCCTCTCCTTCCCATGGAGGGAGTCTGCGGTGTAGACCCCTGGCCCTGAAGTGAGCTCCAGGTGCCAGGGCCTGCCACGGGACAGGCTTTTCCGGCCACTGCATAATGAGATCTTTGCTAGGGAGAGAGGGCCACGCATTGACCCCACACCCGCGCCTGCCTATGGGCCTCACAGTCGGCTTGCCGGTGGGGGGGCGGGGGGGAGGCCCGAGTGTGGCAGCAAGGGCAAGGGGGCTTGTCCCTGGGGTGTGGTGGGACCCGGGGCCTGGTGCCCGGCTGGTTCTGCTCCGTGGATAGGCTTCCCTCGGCAGGGATTGTTCTGGAGGGTTCTGGAGGGCCCTGTGGTGCCAAGAGGAAGCCTCCGTGTCCCGTGTCCTGGCAGACCTCCCCGTGGGAGGTGCCCACCACCACCCCCATCCCCGTGCCCGCTGCGGGGGGGAGCCGGCTGCTCCGAGCTTGCCGATGGAACAGCAGACTGCACGTGCTGGACTTCAGAGTAACGCGTGTGTTTTCTCTTTTGTCCACCAGACTTCATGAGGAAATAATTGACTTTTATAACTTCATGTCCCCTTGTCCTGAAGAAGCAGCCATGAGACGGGAGGTGGTGAAACGGATCGAAACGGTGGTTAAGGACCTCTGGCCAGCGGCTGATGTGGGTGCTTCGTTGTACCTCTGTGTGGGGCCAGGGCCGGCTGCTCTCCTGGGCCTGGGGCTGTGCTTCCCCGGGGGCGGCCCTGGGTGGGGGTGGCAGGCGTCACTGGGTGGTTTGTTAGAAATGCTGGTTCCCAGGCCCTGCCTTGCACCGTCCGGACTCAGAAGTCCTGCCCCTTACACATTCTGCCTGAGCCCACGGCACCCATCCTGACGTTCGCCTCCCCTCCTGATGGCCGGGCTGGCGGAGGGCGCGGGGCGCCCAGTGGGCAAGGGCGGCCACTCCGTTCCCTCCCTCTTTGAAGATCGCCTCCCACACTGTTGTCTTTCAACTTCAGCCCCGGGGCTGAGCCCCACCTGTGCCCCTTAGCTACCTGTGGGTTTGCAAATTGTTGATGGGTTTAAAAGCAGCTCTGAAAAGGCCTCCATTGTGAGCACTTGTGGGAAAGGCCAATAATTATGTCATCTCTCAATTTTGAGTTTTAAAAAATTCCTTTTCAGGGGAGGTCTTTAACGATTAAGAGGATTTTGTCTGATGTGTTTGCTGCCCCTCGGGCCACCCGCTCCCACCCCAACTTCAGGGTGGCTTTCATCTTGCCCCAGGCTAGGTGGGGGGCCCTGCAGTGAGAAGTTGGGGGGGCGGTGTTGCACTGACTGCACTGTCCGGTGTTGTAGACGACCACTCTTTTCTTTCAGGTACAAATATTTGGCAGCTTTAGTACAGGCCTCTATCTTCCAACGAGGTGAGTACAAGCGCACCGGCCGGCTGGGCTGACGGTCACTTAGCTGGGGTGGGCGGCGTCTCAGTGCCCGGGCAGGGGAGAAGGTCCCTCGTACGCAGGCCCCCGTACGCCGGAGGAAGAGGCTGCAGCACAGAGGAAACGGCAGGAAATAATTCAGTCTAGTATTAGAATAGTTGATTGCACTTCCAGTGTCCCACCTGATTTGGGGTGTCATGAAAACGCTGGCCGTTGGGAACATAAAGATGAGCGGCAGGGCCGTGGAGAGAGCGCGGTAGAAAGGACTCAGAATTTTGGATGTGTTTTTGAAACATCATCTTCCGTTTCAATGAAGATTCAAGCAGAATTCTATTTAAGCAGCATTTTGTAAGCATTTTGTGTTTGTATTTAATCGAAGAGCATCAGACGAGTGAGCATCCTGAAGTTGTCCTTCAGTATTTCCTCATGAGAAACTATCTCGATATCCAGATCAGTTCTATGCGCGTTGTTTCATTAAAGGCTTATTTTCACCCAGCGCCCTGTTCACAGTCAGAGACTGACAGGGCTGTGACCCCAGGACTTGGGGGTAGTGCTGGCTGGCCCAGGAGGGAATGGGGCGGGTCCTCGGTGCCCAGGAGCCCGGTGGCGCGGTGTGGACAGCAGTGTGGACGGAGGGCCGGGAAGCCTCCCAGGAGCGTGCCCGCTCCTCGGTCACCTGGGGTGCCGGGGACACTGTCCGCCCCTTGGCTCTCTGCCCCTGTATCACCAATACGGCAGTTCGGACGCCGTGTTTTCTCTCCTGCGGGGATGTGCTCAGTGGGGGTGGGCATGGCCCTTGAAGGGGAGGGGAGTGTGTGCCCCGCCTGTGGTGGGAGTTAGCGGTCACGGCCCATGTCCTCCGTGCAGTGACATCGACTTAGTGGTCTTCGGAAAGTGGGAGCGCCCTCCGCTGCAGCTGCTGGAGCAGGCCCTGCGGAAGCACAACGTGGCCGAGCCGTGCTCCATCAAAGTCCTCGACAAAGCCACGGTAAGCGTGGGGCCCGCCCCCCCCCCCAGCTGCTGTGGCTCTCCTGTGTCTTCGGCTCACGTTGTTTGCGGGAGGGGCTGCATGTGGTTCTGAGGACTTCTCTGCCTCCGTGTGTCTGTCCTGACTAGTTAGCATTACCAGCGGGGCACACACCTCCTGGCAGCCTGACCCACTGCTCGCTGGGGGAGCGCCACGCGGTGCTCAGCTCTGAGGGAGATGGCGGGCCCGCCTGGTGGCCGTGCGCAAGGGGCCGACGCGTTCAGGGCTGCCCATTCTTGCACACGGAGCACAGTGATTAAAACGTGGCATTGTTACACAGAAAACGATGACCATTTGCCAACTTCTATTTAAGAAACAAGAACTTGCCTCTTCCTTTCATCGTTCATTCAAAAACGTAGCTGTAAACACCCATCTTGGGGACAAGCTGGAAGATGAGGGTGTTCTGATGGCTGCTCGTCCAGGCTTCCCAAGTCCAGGTCCCACACGGCTCGGCCCTCGACTCCCTGGCCTGTTGCGTGGTGCTTACCAGGCCCCCCGCCCTGCCTTCGTGGGGCTCTGCTCCTTGATGGGCACGGGACCCCAGTGGCCCCTGACCACTGTCCCGGGTTAGATGCGGAGGGCCCTGTCGCCCTGGGTTCCGGAGCACGTGGGGGACAGACGGCGTCCAGCAGCTGTTACGGGAGCCGCTGTCCCACACCTGTCCCTCTGCTGCCGGTGGCCCGGCGTAGACTTCCAGGGAACCAAGCCACACGGGTCCAGCACTGCTCGGGCCTCCACGCGTGAGCTGTGGCCGGGCAGCCTTTTCTCTGGGCGGCCTCACCGGCACCCCGTCCCGGCTCTGGAGGCTGGCCCAAGTGCGGTGTCTGAGAAGGAAGCTTGTCGGTGTTGAACAACTGAGAAATAAGTCCTGTGGTTTTATTGCTAATCTCTAGAATCTGTGAGTGTGTGTGAGTGTGTGTGTGTGGGGGAGGGCAGATGAGCACTAGTGGGGTTTGGGAACATGGCCCCTGAGTACAGAGGAGGAGGTGGTGTGCCCCGTGTGACGGGGAGCAGGGATCATCCATGAGGGGCTGACTGAGCTGTGGGCACATGGGCTCCTTCTGAAGCACGTTTTGGTAAGGTCTTTGGGAAAGCGTTTTGCTCTTTGGCCTTCTTGGGCCGCACTGGCTGTAGCTGACCACACACGGTGGTCATGGTGACCTCCGGGAGTCACGGCCACTGCCCGCTGGCCTGTCCCTGTCACCTGTGTGTCCTTGGCCACTTGCTGGCAGGTGTGTTTCAGGGGCCGGAAGCGGTGGGCACCCTGTCTCCAGGCCTTCAATTAGACCTGTTGTTTTGGTAGGGAGAGTGCTTTCTCATTCCTTCCAGGCCCCTCTTGACCCGGAAGAAGCCGGTGAGTGTGGGGGCTGTGCGGCTACTCGGGAAGCTTCAGTGAGGCAGGTTTTGAGCACCTTGTGGTGACAAGTCTTTACAATGAGAATGTTTCCAATATAGCTTCCTAACTCTCTGGGTTTTCAGGGAAGTGGCTTTTTCGGTTTCCTTTGTTTTGCTTTTTTGGTTTGTTTTGGTTTGGTTTTTTGGTTTTATTGTCCTTGTGAAAACCCAAAGTAGAATTCTCCCAAAGGAGAAACATCAGCACAATATGTAATTTAAAAGCTGGCTTTGGAGTTACGTTGAGTGTTGGCAGAAATTCTCGCTAATGTAATTTGGGGACCTGGAGCCTCTCCATCACCAGGCGTGGCTGGGTGGACAGGGACGTAGCCCCTTCTCCGTGTGGAGCCCAGGCCTCCCCAGAGGTGACTGACGCTGAGTCCAGACCCCCTGGCCAGGTGGAGGTGAGCGCCAGCTGTCGGGGTTGGGGCAGGGTCTGGGGCTCCAGAGACCAGTGAGGTCGGGGTTGACACTGCAACGTCTCTTTTCGTCTTTAAAGCCTGCTATTCGTGATCTCTCAGCCCTTTTGTGAGTCAGAAAAGAGAAACGCTCTGTACAAGTTTAGAAAGATTTTGATGTCAGACTGTGGTGAATGTTGGCCAGTAAAACATAGTTTTGTTTTTTTTAATTAAATCTGCAGGTACCGATAATAAAGCTCACAGACCAGGAGACTGAAGTCAAAGTCGACATCAGCTTTAACATGGAGACCGGGGTGCGGGCAGCGGAGCTCATCAAGAATTACATGAAGGTGCTGTCGTCCACGCTAGCGCAGTGAAAACGGGGGCCTTGTTCCGTCGGCACCCCACTTTAAACCCCTGGTAGCCTTTCGTGATAAAGGCAATGCAGTTGAATTATTTATCTTCAATATTATTTCCAGAGATACGTTGAAATCATGTAGCTGTTCTGTAGAGTGGTCATTTTCCTGGCTGACCAGCAGTTGAGCGTTAGTTGAGAGAGCTTGGTTAAAATGTTCTTTCTCATTGTCACAAAATGACCATCCCTGGGGCTCAGGGTGCCTGATTTGCAAGGGCAGTTAGTTTACAGGAAGTGGAATGGGTGCTGATCTAGTTTGTTCACTAGATCTGGATCCTCTGGGTGCTCGGTGTTGATTCCGGTCCTTCCCGGCTCCCTGCCCCGTCCCTCCTCACCCCTCCTCTCCTCCTCCTCGCCCCCTGCCCTGCACTTGTCACAGGGCGCGCCAGGCCACGGGAAGTCATTTGAAGGAATACACTCACTCTTCCTCCTGGAGCCCCTCTTCGGGGTTGTCCGTGCTGCACCGGAACCCAGGAAGTGGCTCCGGTGCGGGCGGGGGGTGTCATAATAAGCCCCTCACAGAATGAGTTCTCAGGCCCCTAAAATTTGAGGATGGTGGGCCCAGAGCCTTCCAGGTGGCCCGAGCGTGGAGTGAGCTTTTCTTCCCACTGTGTGAACTCTGCTGTGTGAGAAGTCTTTAAAGGTATTAGGTAACCAGCATATTTTTTTTCTTTTGAATTTACAGAAATATTCGTTGCTGCCTTACTTGATTTTAGTATTGAAACAGTTCCTCCTGCAGAGGGACCTGAATGAAGTTTTTACAGGTGGAATTAGCTCATACAGCCTCATTTTAATGGCCATTAGCTTTCTACAGGTGAGTGTGCGTTCCCTCTCAAGGCGTTGACACCGAGACTCCGTACGGTAGACTCTCCGTGATGCTCCGAAGCCCCTGCCCCCTGGGCTCCCGCGGCCCTGGCTGCCCTTGCCTCTTGTGTCTCCGTGTGGGACAAGTGGACGTCTGGTTGTCACAGCAAAATTACTTTGAGGAAAACGCTTCTTTCCTTTCCCTCCCTTGTGGCTTGTTTTTATAGGCGACTGAGCAGCTAGAGGGAGGGCAGAGTGTCCGGCCCCGTCAGTCAGGCGAGGGCTCCACGCATGTGGACACTCTCGTACCTTGATAGACCATAAAAAGCTGCTTTTCTTGGCCACTGACTGTGGTTTCTGAAAAATTTGTCTCAAAAAAAAAAATTGGGGGACCATATATAATTTTAAAAAATTGCTGAGGGGCACCTGGGTGGCCCAGTCAGATAAGCGTCTCAGCGTCTGACTGAGGCTCAGGTCATGATCTCGCAGTTTGTGAGTTTGAGCCCCGTGTCAGGCTCTGTGCTGACAGCTCAGAGCCTGGAGCCTGCTTCGGATTCTGGGTCTCCATCTCCATGCCCCTCCCCAGCTGGTGCGCGTGCTCTCTCTCCCCCCACCCTTTGTCAAAAGTAAATAAACATAAAAAATACAAAAAAAAATTTAAAAACACTGCTGATAAGAGAACCTTTCTTCTCAGATTGACAGGACATAAATATTTGTCTTGCCCTTGTTTTGTGCCTCGGAGCAGTCTGTCGGGAGAGGCTTCCCAGGGTGCTCAGTGCTGCGCCGCTGACAGACTGCTCCCGCTTGTTCACATCAAGTAGTTTCTGCGAAACGGAAACCTTCATCACCCCGTTTATATTTTCTCCAAGGAGTCTGTGTTCTCCGCACAGATCTTCCGTGTGTAGTTTAGCTGTGACGGGCTGTTCCTCCATGTTTATCATTAAGGTTTGTACTTGTGATTGTGCTTAGGGTTTTCTATCCGAGATTTGGCCCGTTTTCTCCTTATCGTTAGTGCTGACGGAAGTCGTGGCTACACCACCTTTCATTATTCTGAGTCCGTGGCACGTCTCTGCCAGAGATGTGTTAGGAGGAGGGACACCAGACTTGCACACCTGTTTCCTTAGAGCGCCTTAGTTTGTTCACCGGGCTGCCTCCCAGCCCTGCCCCCGCCACGCCGCCCCTGGAGCCATCTTCCCGTTGTGGTGAGCCAGGCGCAGCCCGCTGTTGGGATTCCCTCCCGGTTTCCGGATTGGAACTGCTTCAGTGGCCTTGTTGTCATGGCTGCTACTTGTTTTTATGGTGCCGGGCACTGGGCTCAGTGCCTCCCAGCACGGTCCCCACAGGTCCTGGGCGCAGTCCCAGGACCCTGCAAACGGCCACGCACAGCGCGCACGGGCTCCCCGCTGCCCTCCGTGCCCCGCGGTGCCTTGTGCCCCCTGCCGCAGACCTGGGCCTGTGGCAGCGTCCACGTCCATTTTGTGGCCCACGAGGAGAGCCCCAGCCTTGCGCTGGGTGGCTCTCAGGTACCTGATTTTGACTGGAGGCGAGCAGTGAGGACAGGAAGGGGGAGGCGGAAGCACGAACGGCCCTCAGAAGGTCTCGTGAGCCCCGGACACCGCTGTGAGCGCCGGGACCCTCTCCTCGGGGACCTGTGTGCATGTTCAGGAATGGTGGCTTCGCCTGGACCTGGCCGCCGTCCTCCACACCCACCCCGTCCGGCCAGAGGGGCCCCCGAGCCACGCGAGTGCGGTGTGGCGAGCAAGGCTGACTGGCTACGTGTTTCATTAAGCTGTTGTAATTAATTTAACTGTAAGTGGCCACGTGTGGCCGTGGCTGTCACTGTGGGCGGCGCAGGCCTGCCTCACGAGCCTCTCAAAGCAGGAGTGTGGCTGGAGACCGCGTCCTAGGTTCACTCAGCCTGTCACCCGCTGAAGGGAAGCGTGGCCCCATACCGCGCTGGCGCAGATCCGTGAGATGAGCAGGGATGTAGACTTGATGTCAATATTATGACAGAGCACTAATCACCTGTATACAGTGAAAATTAATCTTTCCGCATTCCGGCTTTACGGCACTGTGTGCCACGCTCCGGTCTCATAGCGCCCTCTAGGGGTTGTGTTTGGGAATAACGGAATTAGGTTAGAACCTTCAACGTTGCCGTCACCATCCAGAGGGCTCTGTCCTGTGGAGAAAACTCGACCTATTTATCAGTATTTGCTAATCTGTGATTAATCGCACGTCTGTGTCAGTAGAAAGACGCTCTATGGATTATGAATTTTGGAGAATTAAAACTGATAAAAGTGGAAGTTAGAAGGTTTTATTTCTTCCGAACTCTGTTGGCGAAGGCTCTCTGGGCTCGGCCAGGGCCTCCCCTCTGCCGTTCTGAGCGTCCTCACGGAGCTGGGGAGAGAGCACGTGCCACCGAGGGCGTTTCCTCGGAGAGACCCTGGGGTCCAGGACTTGATTTCATGCAGCCTTTTTAGAGAATGACTTGAATCCAAATTGTGGATGTATTGCTTTCACAGTTGCATCCAAGAATTGATGCCCGGAGAGCTGATGAAAACCTTGGAATGCTTCTTGTAGAATTTTTTGAACTCTACGGAAGAAATTTTAATTACTTGAAAACTGGTATTAGAATAAAAGAAGGAGGTGCCTATATCGCCAAAGAGGAGATCATGAAAGCCATGACCAGTGGATACAGACCATCGATGCTGTGCATTGAGGACCCTCTGCTGCCTGGTAAGGGGCCCTTGCTCTGAGCCCGCCGGCATCTCCGGTGCACGGTTGGGGCGGGGTGGGTGGGGGGCGGCGTGCCTTCAGCCCTGCACCCAGGCCAGCGCCCTGGGTTCCAGACAGGCCCCTACTGTCTAACGGGGTCACCGTCGGAATCCTTTCTTCAGTGCTTCTAATTCTTACAACGTTGGAGTTTTGTTTACTTCCCGTGATTAACCAGAAAAGTGTACGAAGTGAAAATTCAGAAAAGCATATTTTTTCTGGTTAGGAGAGTGTAACACATCCATCATGGACTGTTCACTTCCAGGAAGTAGGTCACAGGGAAACTCAAAGTGTGCCACGATCCCCTTCCGCTTTGGAGTGTATTTCCGCAGGGTTCTCCTGTGCGGGTACTAACGTTTGTGGTTGTAATCGTATTAGTTAAGCGGCCCCCATAGTAGACACACCGTCACAGCTCGTGGTTCTAGTCAACAACAAATCCCAGACCCCTTTCGTCTGTGCGCACGGCGGGACCGTCCTGAGGCCTCCTGCTTCTCCCGTTTTACTCCCGTGAGCGGGTTCGAGGGCGCTCACGTCCCCGTTCATGCGGGGATGGTCTCCTTAGTCATTGCCAGTCTGACGGAACTGTGGAGTGTGAATTTTCGTCTAGTTTAGATTTCTTCAGTGGTTTAGTGAGGTTGAGCCAATTTTTATTACTGATTCCACAAGTGTTCACTGGGCATCTGGTAGGGAGACACGGTTCCTAGTGCTGGCGGCGGACTCCGTGACGGCCAGGCCACAGAAAAGGTGGGGGGGTGGTGGCTCCAGGCGGTGGCGGACTCCGTGACGGCCAGGCCACAGAAAAGGTGGGGGGGTGGCGGCTCCAGGCATGCCACCCTCCGGGTTTCCTTTGTGTGAGTCCGTGTGCTTTGTCCCTCGCCTGCTGGGCCCGTAGTGGCTCCGTGCGGTCCTGAGCATGTGCTGGGGAAGCTTTCTCTGTCGTCACGCGGTCCTTCGTCTGTCCCCAGCCTGCCTCTCGCATCTGTGTTTGGTATTTGTGATTCTTCAGTTCCTATATGTTTTTTTAATGTCCTCAAGTGTAACGTTTTGTTTTGTTTTGTTTCATGGCTGCTGGAGTGTGAAATCTGCTTCTTAAAAATCTTTTGAAAGGAAATGTGCTGACTGTTCAGTTGTTCATAAAGGACGTGACTCACGCCACGTGTTTTCTGTAGTGATTTCCCAGCAGCCTAGGAACACGCTTTCACCTCTGCTTGTCTGTGTTTAATCCTTTAAGTTGGAGGTATTTCCAGTGTCTTCAATGTCTGCTTAAATGTACCTGAAAGACGAAAGCCCACATGATCACCGGATTGTATTGTATTATCAGATCTGGAGAAGATAAAATCCTGATGGTTAGAACGTCTCCTAAAAAATTCCTGCTCCCTTGAATTGTGAAGCATGAGATGTGAAGATTAAAATTCAGAGCTGTCCTGCTACAAAAGTCCCTGGGCTGTGGCGCACGTGGTGACTTCCCTGACGGCTCCTCTGCCCCGCCGCCCGTGCAGGCCTCACCAGGGAGTCCAGGCCTGCGGCCTTCTGCCCCGAGGGACGTGCTTCCTGCAGGTCCCCGTGGTGCTGACGGAAGTGCGAGGTCTCGGGCCAGCCACCCACCTCGTGCCCTCCTGGTCGGCACTACTGCGGTCGGGTTACGGTCGCTGCCTTGGCTCTCTGGTGTCTCTGCCACCAGGTGCCACCTGGGGAGCTACCTGACTTCTTCCTGGACTGTCCCCCTGTCTCTGATGACACCTCCCGGGGATAGACCCGGGTCGTAGCCCCCGAACGCCAGGAGGTGGGCACAGGCGGCTGGTAGCGTGTCAGCAGGCGCCAGCCCGGCTCTGCGGGTGCGGGTCTGGAAGTGGGGAGCGCCCACTTCAGAGTAACGCCCGGGAGAAGCCCGGAGACACCCGGATCGCGGGCCGAGTGCCGGGCAGGGTTTGACAGCTGCCTCTCTCTTTCAGGAAATGACGTGGGCCGCAGTTCCTATGGGGCCATGCAGGTGAAGCAGGTTTTTGACTACGCCTACATTGTTCTCAGTCATGCCGTGTCACCCCTCGCGAGGTCCTATCCAAACAGAGACTCTGAAAGGTAACACGAGTCCCCCGTCGCTATCCTGGGCTCACAGCCCATGCAGTGCAGCGGTACCGCCTGCCCCCGGCATGGCTTCCCTGAAGTTATTGGTGGGTGTGCCACCGTGTTTTAGTAGGATGGTGAAAACATCGATAAGGAAGACCTTACGGGAATTCGGGGTGGCCACATTCAACGCATCCGCGGCTCAGCCCTGAAGCTTTCTTGTTCGGGGACCTGACAGTTTGTGTCTTCAGGGTGTTTTGTTTGGGGAAAGTCATTTCTGGCTTTTTAAAACTTGGGAATGTGATGCATTCCCATGAGGCCGTCTTCAAAATGCACACACAGAGTGTTAAGTGAGCGTGCGTCTGGGTCCACAGGCGCCAGCCCTCCTCCCTGCTGCACACTCGTCCCTCCTCCATTTCAGAGGACTCGTACTGGCTGCGAGATGTGCCTGCGACGTGGCTGGGGCAGGGCTGCACGGAGTGAGGAGTGGTGGGAAGGAAGAATGATGGGGTGGTGGTCAGTGCTCGTTGAAACTGCCAGAAGGGGAGTTCAAGGCCAGGCACTAGTGGTGATCAGCTTTTTGTGGGTTTTGTGCCTCTGTGCGCTCACGGTGTTTTCTGGCAGAGCTCTGGGCCTGGTGCTGGGAGTCTCTTGCCGGGGATAATGGTGCCAGACTTCCTGAGTGCTAGGTGGGGGCGGGGGGCACTCCCCTACTCAGATGCCGCCTGAAACTGTCTTTTGTAGGTAGCCGTAGGCCCCGGGACGTTTGCATACTTCTGTGCTGTGATCTCAGAGCGCATTTGGGCTCAAGCATCAGAAGTCATGTATACTTAGTAAAATTATCTTAGCTTTCTTCTGACCGTCTTTCACTTAGCAAAGGGATACGTTGTTAAAAGTAGAGAAGGGCGGCGGGAAGGGCTGGTGGGCTCCCGGTAGCCGCTGCCCCAAGCTGACTCCCCGCCGTGTCCTCTGCAGCACTCTGGGAAGAATCATCAAGGTCACTCAGGAGGTGATCGACTACCGGAGGTGGATCAAGGAGAAGTGGGGCGGCAAGGCCACCCCCGCGCCCACGCCTGGTGAGATTCCCCTGGTCGCGTCGGGCACTCGCGTCGCCTGCACGCTCCCTGCGGCCGCGCCTCTCGGTCCCTCGTTGGTGACCGGCAGGCTGAGGAGGTGCCTCGTCTGCTGTGACGTGAGCGTTTGCAGCTGTAAGATGTAGGCCCTGGACGTAGGATGCAAGCCACACGTGGGCTTTTAAAGTCTCTTGTAACTGCGTTAAAATGTGAAAGAAACAGGTGAAATTTGTTTTCACGTTTTTTCAACTTCGTATTCAGAATCGTAACATTTCAACATGTGACGCGTGGGAAACGCTTTTGAGAGATTTTACTCCGTCCCGAGACATGGGCTCCGAGTTCAGAGCCCATAACCTTGTTCTAAACGTATTTGAAGGTTTCCAGGACTGAAACGTGCAGTTTTAAAACAGTAAATTAAACAGAATAGGAAGGGGTTTGTCTAGGCTCAGTGGCACCTGTGGCTGCCAGGGTCCTGGGGGCCCGTGCGCCTCTGTCTCCTCAGCAGGTCACTCAGCGAGGCCGTGTTTCCCCCACAGACAACAGAATTAAGATCAAGGAGCGGATGAGTGCGTGTGACGGGGACCAGCCGCCGCGCCGGGACCCCGAGCCGCCCTACAGCCAGCGCCTGACCCTGTCCCTGCCCAGCCCCCAGCTGCTGTCGTCAGGCTCCTCCACCTCCTCCGTGTCCTCGCTCTCGGGAAGTGACATTGTGAGTGTGCCGCGGGGAGACGGCTGTGGCTGGGGGCCTAAAGTCTCCCCTGCGGTGGTTTCTCCCCTTCCTGGGGATGGGGGTGTGGGGGGCACCCCAGGACTGCACTGACCAGTCCCCACTCTGCACGAGCCTCTGCCGACAGTCGGGGCCAGTCTCCGTGGTCCTTGGGAGCAGGCGTGCCGTCCACGTCCACTGTGCACGCCCTCGAATAGTTTTGTAAAGGCTTGTTTGGAGGCAAAACGTCGAAGTGAGGGGTCTCCCCTGCGTGGCCTGCATGCTGTCCAGTCTGAGAGCCTGGAGGGAGCGGCTGGCAGCCTCTGGCCCCTTGTGGGCAGCCGCGTGGGCGGGGCAGCCGTGGGGCGTGTCTACACCTCTCCCCCCGTATTTCTGCTTACAGGATTCCGACACGCCGCCCTGCACAACGCCCAGTGTCTACCAGTTCAGCCTGCAGGCGCCAACCCCCCTGCTGGCCAGCCTGCCCACCGCCCTGCCCATGCCGAGCGGCAAAGCTCAGTCTGCTGCTTCCAGAACGTTGGTCATGACAACTAACACTCAGGTGCGTGGGCGGCTGGCGCCCTTCCTGGGGACGGGCCGGGGACGGGCCGATACTCTTGAGTTCTAAACCACTTCCGAGGTCTTCAGAGGCACGTTTCTGCCTGGTAGGAAATCCGGGTCTCTTGTGGCTCGATGGAATGCACTTGTGTGGTTCTGAGGCCTGCTCTGCGCAGTGCGTGTGGCGGGGGGCTGGTCTGCAACCCGCTCAGGGCTCTGGACAGGCTGCAGGCCGCACTCCTCAAGAAAGGTCCTCTCCGCAGCGCGGGTTTTAACGTGAGCGGCAGGGACGGGGGCGCAAGCGTAGGGCTCGCGTCTCTGTCGCTTGGTGCTCTGCCCCGGGAGGTCGGAGGACGCGCCCCAGCCCTCAGGCTGAGGACAGCACGGCGTGACAGGTGGTGGCAACAGGCAGGTGGTAGGCCCCCCTCCCCCTCCCCCGGGAGCTGCCTGCGGCTGTGATGCTGAGGCAGTGCCTGTGCTATGAAAGTACATCCCGGGGCTCAGTCGGTTAAACGTCCGACTCCTGATTTCGTCCCGGGTCATGATCTCCCGGCTCCTGAGTTGGAGCCCCACACGGGGCTCTGCGCTGTCCGTGCAGAGCCTGCCGGGGATTCTCTCTCCCTCTCTCTGGCCCTCCCCTGTTTGTACTCTTGCTTAATAAATAACTTAAAAATTTTAAAACAAAAGAGAAAATACGTATGTTTGGTCGCAAACTCTGGGCGTGGTAGTGGCCACGGTATCCCTGGATCCACCCGTGGGTCTGACCTTGCCCGAGGCCCAGGTGCCCGAAGGCCCGTGTGGCCTCTGCGCTGCGCTGTCTTCGGCGGGAGGTGCAGGAACGTTCGGGGGAGGGGCTGCAGGCCAGGTGCAGGGGCCGTGGTCCCGTGTCACTTGTGCTGACGGAGTGAGGCTAGAGCTGCGGTCCCTCAGCCTGGGAGCCGAGGCTCGAGGCCCACGTCCTCTTCCTGAGCATCACACGTTGCTTCTAGCAGAGTAACTGGGTGGAGCACCCCTCTGCAGGCCCTGCGCGCACGGTCTCCGTGGGGCGCCCCCCCCCCCCCGCTCGGGGTGAAGTGGGCACGCCTGCCGGGGGGCATGAGTGTCAGACCCAGCAGGCGCTTCCCGGCGGCGCCAGCTCCTGGGGGGCACAGAGCCCCCACCGAGGAGAGGGCCTGCGCGGGCTGGAGGCCCCGGCAGGGAGGGTGGGCCTGGGCCCAGTGCCCTAGTCGCCCTGCGGCTGCTGGTGTTACGCCCTCGGCGCGCCGCCTGGGAGACGCCTGCAGCCTGTCCCGGGCACTCTTCCGGGTGGGGGTCCGCACAGGTCTTTGGGGCACACGTAGGATCTGAGACGTGAGCACTGCTGTTGTCGCAGGTCTGAGAGAGTTCCCAGCGGCACCCTGTGCAGAAATAGAAGTAGTCCATGGGCTGGAGAGGGCTGGGAGGGGCCGGCGCGTGGGGTCTGTGCTTCAGCTCTTCCCAGAGACGCGAGGGAGAGTCGTTGCTCTGATGACTGACTTGGTAAATCGTTTGGTCTTCAAGGAATAGGAAAGCTTTAGGATTTGGGTTACTGGGTGTGCTTCCTGTTGTAATTGCTGTTTCAGGATGTCAGGTCTTCCTGATGCAAAACAAAACCTTGTCGGGTTACAGGAAAACAGACGACGTGCATGAGCCCGTTGGCGGGTGCCGTCCCGGAGCAGCGCCCTCCCTCCGCGGGCTCTGCGTGACACCTGGGCCTGTGCCCTCTGTCGGCTCGCTGCCTTGCTGACGTCTCTGCCCTTTCTCTTCCTAGACCAGGTTTACGATACCTCCACCGACCCTCGGGGTGGCCCCTGTCGCTTGCAGACAGGTTGGCGTCGAAGGCACTCCAGCGTTGAAAGCCGTTCACCACATGTCCTCCCCGGCCGTTCCGTCCACGTCCCCCAACTCGCTCTCGAGTCCTCACCTGTATCACAAGGTGCGCCTCCTCCCTGGCCTGGGCCCGGGCCCCCCGATGCGCGTCCCTGACAGGCCGGGCTCCTTGCTGTGTCCAGAGACAGCTCCACAGAGATGCTCATTACTGTTTATTTGTATTATTTTGTTAAGTTTAATTATTTTGAGGCGAGAGAGAGAATGGGTGGGAGGAGGGGGAGACACAGAATCTGAAGCAGGCTCCAGGCTCCAAGCTGTCAGCACAGAGCCCGACGTGGGGCTCGAACCCACGAACTAGGAGATCACGACCTGAGCTTAAGTCAGATGCTTAAACTGCCCCACAGAGACGCTCTTTAAAATAGAATTGCTTTCTGGTCGTTCAGCTTCATGTTTGCTTTTTTTGTAATGAAAGAAAAATATTAAGGTAGTTTCAAATGTAATATAGTTTAAGCATCTCTCTTAATTCTTTGATTGAACTTGTTAGCGTAAAACTGAAGTTGGAAATAAGGTTCAAAGCAAAGAATATTTTGTTTCCATGTGTATCTGTTAATTTACATGCCACATACTTTGGATCTCAAGAGGCCAGGGGTACAACCCAGAACAGATGCTGGCGTGGCCCGGTGCACAGTGTCGCCATGTGGTCTCGTCCCCCTGTGTTGTGTACGCGCCCCAGGGTGGAGGGGGCCAGGGTGGGCGGGGAGGCCCTTTGACTAGGTTTCGCTGGGGTCCTTGTGAATGCGCACTTCCGCCCCCCTGTGGCTTCTCCAGATGCCGCACGTGAGAAACTTGGGTGGTAGGAAAATAGGTCGTCATCGACTTCTGTGCTCTCCAAACCAGAGTGTGTCTGAGAACGGGCGTCTGCCCGCAGGACTGAAGGTGCAGTGTCCCAGGGCGAACGTCCCCTGGCTCCGAGCATCCGGGGACACGCCCCTCGGTTACTCCCGTCAGTTCCTCTGATGCTTGTCTGATCATATTTTGCCAGTGAGTTGTTGATGCTTAAAGTTTGGCTCTTTGTGGCTGTGCCATTAAGTCCCTATCGGTTTTTTTTGTTTGGGGCCGAGTAATAGACCCTTCCTTCTTGGCTTTACCTGTCCTGTTCCGAGGGGTGTTCACAGCACCCACAGGGGCATCGCGCTGACCTGCTGGAAACACTCAGGGTGGAGTGAGCACTTGGAGGAAGGGAGGCTCCTTCATGAATTCAGGGACCCCGGGCAGCGGCTGTGTCTGCCCCCCGCCCCGCCCCGCGCTTCAGGCGTAGGAGCTCGAGCGCCTGCCGCAGCGGGTCCAGCGTCACCCCAGGGACCTCGAGCCCCCGGCCCACTGGGCACGGAGCTCACGTACGTGTCTCCAGAATGTCAGAGCCCAAGTGGAGGAAAGGAAACGAGGGGCCCCCAGTCCTGTGGACACACGGGACAGGTCAGCATGTGAGGCTAACCTCTTCGGATGTGAACGTGTGTGGTGTGACCTGGTGCCCAGCCCCTGGCCCGGCGGGTCCCCGTGTGGGCAGGCACCGTCTGCCTCATACGCAGGGGCACCGTGACCCGGGAGAGGCAGCTCTCCCTCAGCACCTCCGCGTTTACTGTCACGTGGATACACGTGGACCCTGCAGGTGCAAGGGACAGGACTGCACGTGGCAGCTGTGTGTGGCCTTTGTCTCCCTGGTCTCCGGTGGGGGGGGGGGGGGGGGGGGGGGGGGGGGNGGGGGGGGGGGGGGGGGGGGGGGGGGGGGGGCGTGGGGGGGGGGGGGGGGGGGGGGGGACGCGGCTCGGGGGTGCCCTCCAGCGGCCGCGGTGTCCAGTGTCCCCGAGGCAGCCTCCGACCTTGCTGTCCCCTCTGTCTCTCCAGCAGCACAGTGGCATGAAGCTGTCCATGAAAGGCTCGCACAACCAGGGCGGCACGTACGGCTCCGTGGGCAGCGGAGGCGTGCGGCCCCCCGTGGGCAACCGGGGCCACCACCAGTACAACCGCACCGGCTGGAGGAGGAAAAAACACACACACACGAGGGACAGCCTGCCTGTCAGCCTGAGCAGATAATAGCCCCCGACGGCGCCTCCCGGCCCCCACTCTCCACGGACTCAGGCCGGGCGGCCTGGCGTCCGGCCGGGAACTGAGACCAGCACCCAGCACGTCGGCCCTGGCCCCCCCGGAGCGCCCGCCGCTGATCACTCTGCATGTCCCTTGTGTGGTGGTCACGTCCCTGTTCAAGAACAGCCCCCTGTGCTCATCTGTGAAGCCTCATTCCACGTGGGCGCTGCCTTCGGCCTTCCCAGGAGCCTGTCCGGGGCCCGGGCCGGCCCGCGCGGGGCTGCGGGGCGCTCCTCGGCAGCGAGGCTGGGGCCCTCGCGGTTTGGGTGTCTTCGTTTCGCGTTTGTCAGAGCAACTGAGGCTGGCCCCGAGCTCGTGGCCCCTCGCCGGGCGGGGCGGGGCGGCCGCCACCGTGTCACTGCCCTCGCGCTTCGTTTCCAGTGTCCGAACTGTTTTTCTATGTAAATACGGAGAACTTATGATTTGTGCAATAACTCAGATATTTTTATTTAATTCATATTTTCACATAAGTTATATTTAAGGGAGGAGGTTTTTTTTAAACAAGCTTAGGTCCTTTCCCGAGTCGCATTTTCTAAGTTGGGTTCATCCTGTCGGCTGGTTGTCTGATGAGCACCGTTACCAACACCGTGAGTGAGGGGCTCGGGGTTTGTTTTTGTGTTTTTCTTGTGGTCAGACGAGAGGCCTCTCAGCGCGTGGGGGGCGAGGGTGGGGAGCTGAGTGGCCCCCGCGGTTCTTCGAAGCGGCCTGGCCCCTGAGCCCTCCGACCAGCTGCCCTCTGGCCCCGCAGCCCGGCCTGTCTGCCGTCTCGCTCTGACCACAGAGCTTAACGTTTTGGTTTTTGGTTCTTTTAAAGTAGACAACAAATCCAGCATTTAAAGTGCCAGAACTTTCTAAGGGGAGAAAGGGTTGTCACATTATAAAATCCTAAGAAAACAAATGTGAACTTTGAGATGCTTCCGTCGGTTTTAGTAACGTGGCCTGTGACGATGGGTCTGGTGAGTATCAGTACGGACAATGGTACCCAGTTTTAGGAATGTGGAGAAAGGATTATGTTGATTCCATGAGGAATCTGTATAGCAGTATGCGTTCGTTCTGTTAAGAGCAAATCTATGAGAAGTCCTTCAGCTGCTCAGTGCACCGTGGGGAGTATTTTTAACGTATCACAGGAGAGCACAGCCCGGGGGTGGGGCCGGGGGGCGGCTGGCGCCCCACCGGAGAGGCATCAGGTATACTATGCAAGCGCGGCCTGCCACGACAGCCACTGTCTTTGTGACCTTGTTTTCAACAAGAATATGTCCATCCCACCTAACCCTGAGTTATCGGAGCACCACAGTCGTCCTGGGTGTTAGCTGCATCTCAGAGGCCGCCTGAGGCCCCGTTTCTGAAACGGGGGTTCCGGCCCTGCTGAACACTACAGGTAGGTTGGTCCTTGAAGTCCACCAGTGGAGAACGTCGAGTCGAGAGACTTATGGCCATGACACTTGATCGATGTGCAGAGCGGGGAGGTCTGAAGTATGGCCTGGTGGTGGGGTCCCCGCCGGGACGGCTCTGAAATGTCGGCCCACGGCGCCACCGGCCGGGGTAGGGGGGGGCTGCCGGCTGCGGCTGCCGAGGGGGGCCGTTCCAGAACAGAGCAGCACGCGTCTGCGGTTCTTGATGACCGAAAGTTATCAAAAATATTTAAAGATATTTAAATTGTGAATCTATCGATAAATATTTATAAAAACTGATACGTAGGCCTGTACTAATCTCCGCACATTAGCAATATTGACTGTGACCCTACATCAAGGAGCCACCACGGGGCCGCCCGTGGGGTGTGCGTTTTAAAGCTCGACTCAGACACAGGCGCCACGCTCCACCCCCGTCGTGGCAAACGGACCCAATGAATTGGCCTGGCTACCGCTGTGGTCACGAGCTACAGGTTGATCAAAACGATATCATGTTTCAATTTTTTTTGTGTGTGTGAACAACAATGTGGAAGCTAAAATTGACATATTTTTATGTAAAGTTTTTCTATTCTTTGATTTTTAATAAACTTTGGAAACCAGGTGGTGTGTGTGTGCATGTTTGAGTGTATGCTTTCCTTTCGAGAGGAATGGGGGCTTCTCTGAATTCATATTCCTGGATTTTCTAAATCGAGCAGTGAAAGATGATTTTATCACCGGTTCAGGAAATTCAGAATCCAGGTGACGTCCCAGGCTGTGCACAGAAGAAATGGGGCCGAAAGGCCCTCCGTTCTCATGTTCTACACCAGCGGGGTGTTCAGTAGCACCACTCAAATGATAGCTTACGGCGGTTCTGACAAGCTGCTGCGTGATACTGTGTACTAAGTAGTCGTTCAGGGGAAAGGTTTCCTCCTCCATCTCTTTGAGGTCAAATTATATCACTCAAAAATAACACGCTTGAAACATCCGAACAGAATGCAACTTAAAAGGTAACATATTTAGAATTTATAAGAAAGTATCTAAAAATTCCTAGAGCAACGGGCGTCCGCTGCAGGGCCCCCAGCGCTGCGGGCGCCGGAACCCTCAGCCACGGCCCTGTACAGCCCTCATTCATCCGCGCCTTCCTCCCCCAGACGCTTCCAGGGTGCCCCAAGCAGGGGCGCCTAGTTCCGACAGGGCTGAGGACCCCAGAAGTGGGGTGGAGGCAGAGTGACTGGCGTGTCTGTGAAGAGGACCAACTGGGAAAGATCTTGAGCTGGGACCACGTGGCCCGAGGGAGCTGGCACGTTGGTGGCCCCGTAAGAGGCCGGTGGCCGGGAGCAGGTGTAGAGGCAGAGGCGCGAGGTGGGTGAGCCGCGACAGGAAGTCGGAGGGTCTCCAAGTCACCGCGCCGCTCACTGGAGAGCGGGCAGGAGGAGGATGTTGAGGCGGTCCAGGCGAGCAGTGACGGCCGGCCGCAGGCAGGCGCTGGGCGGGTGGGACGGGGCCAGAGCGGGGTGGCAGGGCGGTGGCCCCGCGGCCCTCTGGGTTTCTGCCCATGGCTCTCTGAAAGGCCTCCGGTAGGAGCCTCGGGGAAGGGGAGGGGAGACTGCAGTTGCCTGAAATGTAAGCACCCCCCCCACCCCAGCTGGGGACACCACCCACTGCCGCTCACGTTGTCCGGCGACTCGGCTTCGTGTTGGTCACCTGCAGGTCACGACAGTGACCCCTTCCACAGGACATCCCAGGATCCACGAGCCCTCATGGCCAGGGCGCCGCGACTTCCTCTTGGAGCTGCTGACGGGTCTCGCGCCATCGCTGTCTGTCTCCCCAGGTCCCGGGGCTCCTGTGCGCAGCGCGTGACCCCCTGTGATGCAGACAGACCAGCTCACGTGCGCACGTTTCTATCACCCCGTGACGACCTTCCTGAAACCTCGAGAGAAGGCCGTCCTGTCTTGAGGCTTCCGAAGTTGCAGGGCTCTGGCCAATCCTGGGGTAACTAGATGACCAGAGAAGGCTGCTCTAGAAAGGACGGTGGCGACCATGAGACATACAACAGCCCACACTAATTGGGGCTAATTCTTGTCGGGAAGGGCTGGAAAATCGGTTTCACGGTTGTGTTTCCATGGCTCTGTGGGATTGGGGCAGTTCAGAAGTCACTGGTCACAAAGCTGGTGGTGCCACTTGGCATTTTGTTGCCGGCTTACGTGGTCCTGGGGGGCCAGCCCATGAGTTCCAAGGCCCTGGAGCAAATCCCAGGCAGGATTGATAAACCCCACTTGGGTTCTTCCAGATGCTGGGTTCTCTGTCCGTGACCTCTGAACCCGAATATTTGAGACACTGACGAGTGTTAAAGGTCACACAAATGTTCTCTTGTGGGTCATTTAAAGTTTTGGGGAGAAGCGTGTGTCTTGCAGGCTTTAGGTCTCTCTGCCTGAACTTCCCAGGTCCTGAGCGTCTTCACGGCGATGAGTGCGGACAGCTGTGGCCACAGCCAAGCCTACCCAGCAGGCATGTCCTCGGCTCTGGTGGAATCATAAGAGAATTGTAAAGGTGGAAGGTTCTGGAGCCCAGCCGGGGCACCTGTGCCCTAGATGAGGCTACTCAGGCCTGGATCCGGAAGCGTGGGGGGAGGGATGTGCTCTGCACTAGCAGCCTGGGTGTGTGTGTGTGCTCTGCACTAGCAACCTGGGGGGGGGTTTGTGTGCTCTGTCTGCACTAGCAGCTTGGGTGTGTATGTGTGTGCTCTGCACTAGCAGCCTGGGTGTGTGTGTGTGCTCTGCACTAGCAGCTTGGGTGTGTGTGTGTACTCTGCACTAGCAGCTTGGGTGTGTGTGTGTACTCTGCACTAGCAGCCTGGGGGGAGGGGCGTGCTCTGCACTAGCTGCCTGGGGGGGTGTGTGTGCTCTGCACTAGCAGCCTGGGGGGAGGGGGTGTGTGCTCTGCACTAGCAGCCTGGGGGTGTGTGCTCTGCACTAGTAACCTGGGGGGNGGGGGTGTGTGCTCTGCACTAGCAGCCTGGGGGTGTGTGCTCTGCACTAGTAACCTGGGGGGAGGTGTGTGCTCTGCACTAGCGGCCTGGGGGGAGGTGTGTGCTCTGCACTAGTGGCCTGGGGGTGTGTGCTCTGCACTAGCAGCCTGGGGGGAGGTGTGTGCTCTGCACTAGCGGCCTGGGGGGGTGTGCTCTGCACTAGCAGCCTGGGGGAGGGGTGTGCTCTGCACTAGCAGCCTGCTGGCTCTTCTCATCCTCCAGTGGTCTTAGAGCTGCTGCTCAGTGTGGGCAGAGTATTAGCACTGAGTCCTGTGAGCTCCCAAACTGTGGCCTGTTCCGTGGCTCCCTGTAGGCAGCTTGCCTGGATGGCGGAAGTTCTCATCACGCAGCAACGAGGGTGAGCTGTGAGCCTCCCGGCTTGATGTGTTGCGATGGTTAGGATAAAACCTCTTGAAATGTGGAGATTCGCTGTCGGCCTTGGCGTTCACGGCCAGTGTTCACGGTTAGCATGCTGGTCCTCGGAAAGGTGGGTTCTGGAAAAGCATGCTGTGACTGTTCCGAACGCACACTCCAAACCCAGCCTGCACTCGTAGCTGGACAGTGACTCCCCATTTCTGTGGACCTCCGCCATCTCTCTCTGTCCCTGGTGCTTCCTCCACTGCCCGCACATGTTCCTGTTTCACTTGCATTCTCCTGGCAAGCCCCCACCCCTGCAGTCACGCCCCGGCCGGGCCCTCGGCCCTGCATGCACGGTGTGGGCTACTGGGGCCCCCAGCCGGGGCCATGCAGGCGGGCAGCGCCGAGGGGAGGCTGACGTGAGCACTTACGGGGTTGGTGTGGCTGGGGCACTGGGGTGGACCATTCATGGATGTGAGCCAGTGACATCGGGGCCTGGCACGCCGTCACCAGGGTCACCGCCAGGGCACGGGGATCCTTCCCACCTCCAGAGGAGTAAACCGAGGCACAGAGAGGTTAAGCGCCCTACGTACCGCCTTTCGAGAGAAACCCAGACGGGCGGGGTCCACCGTGGTCCAGGTAGGATGCACGGTGCTGGATTCTGTCTTGAGTGCAGTTGGGTGTTTGGGGCAGGCCTCCCTCCCTCTTCACGTCCTGAATTTTCAGCTCGTTGCATAATTTTAGAGGACCCTGGGATAGGTCTGGTGCCGGGAGAGTCCAGGAGACCCTGACCCTCGGTCTCCACCTGTGTGTCCCATGTCGCTTGGAGCAGAGTGAATGTTGGCTGTCCTTGGGGGTAACCCCAAACCCCGTGACATCCGTCCATCCTTTCTGGGACTGGTCCCTTCGCCCACATCATGTGGGTCCCTTCTCCGCTCGGAATCACCTGGAAGGGCCCAGAAGGCTTGTTTTTCTCTACTCTGGTGTTGGGTCCTGGAATCATCACTGGGCAATTCATCTTCTCTTTTTTCTGACATCCACTATATCATGGTAAGAACGTGGTATTTCCTTTTCAAGTTCTTCTCCCTAATAGATCACGAGCCTTCTGGCGTGGGGTGGGGGGGTTGTGCGCGCGCCTGCGAACACGTCCCTCACAGGGTCAGCCCCCTGCAGGACGACGCCCAGAAGCGCCCTGACACGCCCACTGCTTTATTACAGGCACGTGGGTGGTCACGCTTCCCTTAGCACGTGCCAGAGAAAGTCTGCAGCCCATGCAGGGCAAAGCTTTAGTGAATAAAATTTGTTTCGCGTTAAGAAAAGCAGCAGCAAGTAGATTTAAGACTCAAGGTGCTTTTTTTAAGGAAAACTGGAATCTAGGTGTGCAGCAGAAGTTTTAACATATCAAGTCCTCCTTTTCGCTGTGACCGGAGGTCTGTCAGCCAGCAGCACAGGAAGACGGAAAGTTGAAGCCACATGTGGAGCCAGATAATGGCCAACGTTTTGGCTTTGCCGGCGTCCTGGACGGGCTGTGTTCCCTGACCGGTCTGTCTCCTCCCAGGCTCGGCAGCCCCCTCTGTGCGCTGGAGGGGGCGAGGAGGTGTCGGGTGGGCATCACGGGCTACCCCCTCCTGCCCCCACCCCGCTGCCCCCCCCTTCCAGAAGTTCTGGCTGCTGGCAGCATCTCCCTGCAGGGAAGACAGAGGGCGCACTTGCCTCACTAACAGGCTCCCTCATCCCTGCAAACCTCCAGACCCTCCCTCCCTTGCGCCCCCCCCTGCAGAGCAGAGCTCAGACACCCCTGGCGAGAGGGTGCCCTGAGGGTGGGTGGGTGGCTCCCCAGGTAGGCTGTGAGATAAGTCACTATTGGAAAGGAAAGCACGTGCCCTGGTTAAAAACAAGTACAGGGAAATCAGGCTGCCACTTTTTTCTAGAACTGAAAACAAGAAGCCTCTGCAAAATCCTAAGAGTGACGATGTGGGTGAGGCTGGAGACATCCTCGAATGTGGGGGGTGGGGGTGGGGGGTGGAGGCTGGAGCCACCTTGCAGCCTCAGGGGCGCCCTCGGTTCTTGGGGGGGGGTAGCTGCGGTGGCAGGGCAGCGGGTGGCGGTCCCCCAGTCCTCAGGGTCCCCAGGCTGCCAGGGGAGGAGGCCCGGCCCCGAGGGCACTGCTCTCCTGAGGCCCTGCGGGGGGTTGGAGGGTGGAAGCAGGGCGGGGGCTGCACGGGGGCTG